GTTAATAACGCCTCAAAATTGAATGTTGAAAACCGTTGGAAACAAAACATATTTAATGATAACAGAAACAATCCAAATTCTCAAAATAAACTGCGTACTTACCGAACTTTTAAATCTAGCTTCGGTACAGCCAGTTACGTGACCACTTGCATGAAGAAATGTAATAGACGTGCTTTGGCCCTTTTCAGATCGGGTTGTGCACCCATTGCCATAGAAACCGGGCGTTATAACAATACTCCAGTTAATGAGAGGAAATGTAATCTGTGTAATCTGGATTATATTGAAAATGAATTGCACTGTTTTATTGAATGTTCAGTATACACTTCTTTCAGAACCCAACTGTTTAATGATCTTGCTAAATTTAATCCATCCTTTTCTGACCTAAGTAATATTGAAAAATTTACATTCTTGATGAGTGATGGCAATCACTGTTATATGGTTGCAAAATTCGCCAATCAGATTCTTTCATTACGGCAGTCTATTTTGTTTAATCACTAATGTGTGAGATTTGTGTGTTTTTTTTTTTATTATATGTTCTATTTGTAGTCTTTTTCCTTTCTTTCATGTTGCGTGGTAGTACACAAAAACAAAAAACAAAAAGGAAAAAAAGTGAAAAAGGAAAAGAAAAAAAAAAACAAGTTATGAGCCCTTGAAGCTTTTTTCATGTATTTTTTAAGATGTGTCACTCATAAGCCAGTATTGGCTGGTCTTATTGTATTATAAGAGTGTGACGTTAATAAAGACAAAACTAAACTAAACTAAACTATAATTTTTATACTGACCGACTCCCATATGATGGGAATAGATCTTCACCGATCTGATTCTGACTTTCATAAAAATTTGACAGGTTGCAACACGTCTGACTTGTGTTGGTAGTCATATTACAGTATAAACAACTGCTCGGCGTATATTTCATAACTTCACAAGTCATAAAAACCAAGTTGCTAACACAGTTCATAATGTATTAAGAGATTCATCACGGAATCAAACCATCTTTCATAATGTGTTATAATATTTTCTGTCTTTGATCGCCATTGTCTCTAGAGGAATACCATGCTCAAGCCATCATATCTTCAAAGGCTCGCCGTATTCGGGGAAAAAAAAATGTTTTATTGAGAAGAGATCAACGTTTTCTATACTATACTCTTCAATCCATGTGGCAAAACTAAATGTAGTAAATAAAAAGTTTTTAAAAAAAACACCTTGTAACAGATTTAAAACCACCGAGTCATCTATTCAACATGGAGGCATGTAAGTTTAGAGTTTAGATGGTGTTAAGTACTTGTACAAAAGGCAGTCCAGCATAGAAGAAGATGATGATGACAATGATGATAATAATGATGATGAGCATTGTGACGAAGATGCTGATGATGCTTAAGATGACAATGTCAACAATAATGACAATGACGACGATGATGGTAAAAAGTACTTGTACATAATTTATATTACTTTAAGATTAAAGTGGAGCAGTTCCTTTGTGCTTATCTCAAACTCCTGTGATCCTTGGTTAGGGTTAGAGTTGGAGTTTAGGGTTCCAAATGACGTGATCTTTTCTGACAACTTTCACAAACTAAGCTTTATAAAAGCCATACTGTATTCACGCAAGAGAAATGTTATATGGGATGCATATTATGATAAATCGTCCACACGAAGGCGCATCTATGTAAGATTTGGACACCTCATGTATAAGAGAAAAAAAATGACATCACAGTGACCTGTTAACACTCAGAGGATATTATAATGTTGAAGTAAAGCTTATCGTTTTCTATGGCATTGTGCATATCTTTACCGTCTGCCTACTAGTTCAGTCTATTACCTTTCTATAAATTTATTCATGTTAGAAATTAAAATCTATTGATTTAATATTGATATCAACAGAATTACAGGTCTCCCTGCAATCAAAGACCCCTCCAAATGAATATTTATGAGTAAAATGACAAATTTTATAAAGATATATAAAAATTTTGAATCAAGTATCCAATCGTAGCTGATTAATTACCTCAACCAAGCAAGTTATGTACAGTGTTCATTGCTATTTTCTGTCAGTCTCATTAACAGATCCAGGAATTTGAAATAAAGAGAGTCAGGAGAGACATTCACAGATGGATGGTTAGGGCTGAGGTAAAAAAAAACATTTGGCACCTCTATTTAGGTGGGGCCCAGCCTAGGCCTCATTGAATCCGCCACTGAGTCTCTCTGTCTGTTAGCAGGATTACTTAAAAACTAATGACACTGGATAATCCTAATATTTATTGGAGAGGTACATATTAATGTAAGAAGAGGTTATTATTTTTTGTTTTAGGGAGAAAAGGTCAAAGGACAATTTCAAGGTCACAGGAATTTTTAAAAATTATCTGATACTTGCCCCTTTCGAGCATAAAAGAAAATAATAAAATCGCCCAAATACCCTTTGTGTATATTGTTTGGTAATTTCAGGCACTGGGCAGAGATATATGAATGTAATTGATAAAAAAAAATAAAGAAAACAAAAAATAAATAGCCACTACAGCTGATTATAATTATTGAATTCATAATTACCATAATTAATACAATGATGGGACATAAAAAATGTAAATACATACACGTTGCCAACTACTATACAATTAACCACATATTCATCAACGAGGAAATTTGAACGTCAATTACAATTAACCAATCAAAATCATATTTAATGCATAATTACCATAATCATGAATATTTATACATATTTAGCCTACATAAAGAACCATTGGTCTTCACATTTACAACCTGATCTAAACTGACTGCATACCTTAAATTAGCAATTACTAAAATACACACACGCACATGTAATTTGCAAAATCATTTGCAAGTTATGCCAGCAATGTTGTGCGTTTCAATTATCAATGTCAACTGGCTTGTATAGCTAATCCGCCATCCCTCATTGTCCTAATAACATTTGGGGTGATGGGGAGATAAGTCATGGCCCCTTTCTATAAATCCTCATATCAATAACACCAACTTAAATTTATGCATGAAATTTATTGCATGGTATGTAATCGGTATAAGCATTATGCATTTTCAATCATCGAGATGTCAACATAAAGATATGAAAAGTGAAATAGAAAGTTCTACATTTTTAAAAGTTTTTATCAGCAACGTAAACCACCCCCGCCCCCCAAAATCGTGCATCCGCCCCTGTTGTACCACACCTTTTCCTGTCGACACAAAGCGCTAATCCCGAAAAAATGGATGAAAGTGAATGATTGTATTGAAATAATATAATAAAACATTTTATACCAACTGATGTCAGGACAGCATGCTTTCACCAGTTTATACTATAATACTAGATAAGCTTACAGATTTAATACAGTAACATCTCCCAATTATGAACCTCCCATTTATGAACTTTCAATTTTTACGAATCAAATTTGCGGCAAATGACGTTATTACGACCGATCGTTTTAAACTACAAAAATTTTTATAAAGTCTTCAGAAATAATTTAAATTGTTACATGAGCTAAGAGAAAAACATTCAAACCAATAAAGTGATATACAACTACAGTAAGTTCAAAGCAAGAATTATCAATCATTTTCAGCCGAGATATATTGTATTTGAGCTGTGCATGCTTGTTCAGGCATTCTGTACAGTAAATCTTACCTTTTGAGCATTGAGGGCATTATTTGCATGGATTCACGATCTTTATGAAATGAATACTGTAATAACACTCGTTTTTGGCATCACATGGTCATGTTTTCATTCAGAAATCACTTCTAAATGAATATTTCACAGTGAGCACAGGTAATTTTGACTTCTGTAAAGTATTGTTTTGTTGCAGAAAACAGTAAAACCCAAGTCATATTTCGTGACAAAATTGTTCTCCCATGGCAAGGCTTAAGACTACCTAGACCTAGCATTGTACTTTGTAGCATATGCCTAGGGGGTAGGCCTACCCTCACCACACTGAGATGCTGAAAATTTGAACGTTACTGGGAGATGTTAAGTACTGTATAAACGAAAAATAAATGAATTGATCTATTAATTACAAACCAACAATTATAGATAATTATAACTATTTTAATTCTTAAATGCATTAATTTTTTATATTTCATCAGACCAAGAACCTTAGATCTATACTTCTTTCTGAAAATGCCCATATTTGGTGACTTCCCTCAAATATTAAATGTATCAGAATGCTTCATTTCAATTTTAAAATGATCAGAATCATTCTAAAAGCAAACTGTAATGTAGGTTTATAGGATACTCATAAAAACAATGAGAATGTATATAAAAAAAAAAATAAAATTATATCAAATAAACCATAAGCTATGTAAAAAAATGGGTTGCATAAAAAGACAATAACATTTTATTAGATTTAGAAAAATGCAGTGCTCCTTGCCCACTCCCAAAATGATACAAAAAATGTATGTGTTCAATAGAATAGTACTGCAAAAAAAGTACAAGGTATTAAATTTATAATGTATTAATTAAATTTTCTGGTAGGCAATAGTGAAGGAAAACAATATAGTAGTACAATTCTATTTATAGG